GGAAAGAGTTATTTGCACATCTTTGGGAGAAGAATTTAACCTGGTATATTTATCCGGATAAGTGTAAAAATGTATTCTGTCTGAAAACTTCCCCAAGAAAAAAAGTGGGGTTTTTATGATAGATAAAAAGTTATTTTAGGTTTGTTTTATTCAGATCAGCAGACAAGATGTTTTGCCTATCTGAAAATGAAAGAGAACCAAACAAAGAGATGAATGGAGAAACTGGAAACACAAAGACATCAAATAAAATACCAGGAAATGAAGAGTTGTAAATAGGGTTACTTTGTCGCTGGTTACACAAGTAACTGAATACACTGGCGAGTGAATGAGTTTAAACAAGGGTGTAGGCTTCAGCACATTCTTTTTTAGGGTTAATCACTAGCTAACCTGGCAAGATGAACATGCTGTTTGGGAAAAAAAAAGTAAAAATCCTTGTTAATTATATATGGCGAGTGCTCTTACTTCCTGCTGCTGCACCTAATCCCACAGGTGCAGGTTGTCTCTTTTACTATTCACTGGTAGGTGGGTCCAGATCGACAGACACTTTTTCATAGCAACGAATTCGGATAAAGAAGAAACAGCTTAACTTTCTCCCTTTAAACAGGAAAAGGCTATCATGGTGTCTATTTAACACAGGGGCAAATTTTAAAATACAGTATGCCAGTTTCCAAGATGCTGTAGAAGCTGCATTATGATTGACACACATCGTTCCCACTGGCAAAATTTGCCCGAGGCACCTAGTCAAAAGTAATGCTGCATTGCCTTGATTTCTAGGTGTTCAACTATTTTGCTGCTGAAAGGTTTGCAACGAGTTTCCTACTGCCACTAATGCTAAGCTTTCTCTACTGGAGAGCTACACCTAAATGTCTGCACAGCTTTTTGAACGCAACAGTTTGTCACAGATCTCAGTAAAAACCTTGTATGGTTGTAAATACTTGAGTTATGTTTATTCTCACTTTGGCATTTGTCACAGAACATCTCTTAGCATCAGAGAGTATTAAACAAACTTGTATTCCTGATATTACCAAGAAAAAAATCTAGTTTTACTGAGTTGCTCTCCTATCAAGGCATAATGTTTCAAAGATGAGAACAGATGTTAGAGACTAACTATATAATAACAAACTTCATAGCATTTTGTGTTTGCTCTCCTCTCCACCCCTTGCCCTCCCCTGAATCCTGGAGAGAGACATTTTAACTACAGTGTGGATGTAACAATGAAATGAAAAGGAGTGATGAGCTGGAGGGGGCTATTGTGGGAAACATAGGAGCTCTTTATTCAGTGTCCACCACCAAATGAAAGAGCACGGTGGAAAATTTCCCTGCCTGAAATTTCCCCTCTAAATACTGCAAAGCTCACCACTTCGGCTTTGCAATGACAGAATTAAAGTATCATTAAAATATTTTTGGAATAGAAACTACTTGTAGGCATGACAAGATCCTCATTCCCTTCATGTTTTACAAATCAAAGCCAGGCAGGAAGATGCATCATTTGTACAATCAGTCTATTATAAAGGCAACATTTTATTCTCACATGATTATGAAAAATGGTATTTTGCTTAAATGAAAAAATGCGATGCATTTTCCCTGCCTCTAATACTTTTTCTTGTAGATGAAAAAGCAACCTTGGTGAAGGCTAAACGTGTGTTTTTTGAGAACTGTCATGCAGAACGTAAGCTGTGATTCTGCAAACATTTACA